TCTCTTATTTTGTTTGTTTTTAGTTATACAGGTATCACTAAGGCTTCTGTTTATCAGATGTTATAAGTTACTAAACGTTTACTTTCTTTTGTGATGTCCTTGCTTATGCAAAATAAATTTGAACTTGGATGAAAGTTAAGAGGGTTCGTAATGTAGTCCAATAAAAAACCGAGTTTTCTGAAAAACTGGTGAACAGCAATAGTTAAAAACTTAAAACAAAAACAAAAAAGTGTTCCATTGAGTTTCCAAGCAGTTCTGAAAATATGAGGCCTTAGTGAGTTTTAGTTTTTATTTCATAGCATTTCTGCGGAAAGTCTAAAATGAGAAAGGGGTACCCTTAATAGTCATATTAAATTTTCGTTCCTGTACGGGTTTGTGTGTACCTGTGAAAGTCTTTCGTACAATATTGTCTGCTGTATTCTTGCACTGTCAGTTTATATTTTTTATAGACAATCTTTTTTCTCTCATTTGAGATTCGTATAGTAAACAAATGATTACCATTGGTAATCAAGCATTAGTATTTCTGCAAAGTACATTTGTTGGTGATATTTATCCTTTTGGTGGTCGTTTAACATCTGATATAGCCAATTGTGCACGTAACGAATTATTTGATTTTATTACATTTTTACATCCAAGACGATCAGGTGGATCATTGTATACAAATTTACGAACGTTATTACATTTTAATACACGTGATTTTTTTAATTTATTAACAATGGCATTCAATGATGATGAATTTTTAAACGCTATAGATATACAAAAACGACGATCATTTTTTGATATATTATTACGAGTTATGGTTGATGATATATCATTTAGTTCAAATCAAATTGGAATATTATTTACATTTTTAGCAAGACAACTGTCAAAATCTGATCAAGAACACATATTCATGCAAGGAATTCTATTTGAACAGGTAATGATCAATATTCGAGAAGATTTTTTAAGGCTCTTTTATAATCTGTCATTATGTGATTTTGATGCATGCAGTTAAGAGAAATGTAAAAATTATTATACGAAAATTTGTTTTTCTTATAATTCATGAGGGAAGCTCCCGAGATGTCTCCTTCCGATTCCAATCACTTGTACATGGATCGATAGGCCTCAGTGAGGTAGTAAATACCCTAAAAGGATTCGGGCCCATGACTCCTGAAGAGCTGGTTTTCTGAAAAACCAGCTTTTCAAGAACTCTAAAAAATAACCCAAATCTTTTTTTTAATGAGCCATGATTGTAGCC